CCCATGGAACAGAAGTTGCCTTCGGAAGTTGTGGGAGGTTCATCACTGGAAGCTTCCAAGAAGAGACTGGATTGCCCTCTGTCAGAAATGGTGTAGGGTCTCCTGCTTGGGCCAGGGGTTGGACTAGATGACCTACANCGCATGCGCACACTGGGAACAGGCTCCAGCTGTTCTTCTGCCTCACTGATGTCTGACTCTGAAGGCAGCTGATAACTGGCAGACGGCCCTGGCCCACTCCCTGCCTCCGACACAGAGCCTTCCTCAGACCCTTCCCCAGACTCCAGGATTGGCCCATGTTCCTCCCCAACCTTCTCACTGTCCGAATCTGCTGCCAACTCCGCAGGCCACTGGTGGGCCACAACACCACCAAAGCTTTCAGCCACAAGCTACGTACTGAAGACGGCCAAGTTACTAGCAGCCTTCTAGTATTGTGGTGGAAACATCGCAGGAGAAGCGAAGAATCGAAATCAGAATAGACCTGGACTAGAAGACATTGAGGTCATTTAGTCCAGCCTCCTGGTCAAGCACCATTCCAGACAACTGACCGTCCAGTCTTAAAAACCTCCTGTGATGAAGCACCCACAATTTCTGAAGACAAGTTATTCCACTGATTAATTGTCCTCACCGTTAGGAAAAGAAGGACGGGGGGGGGGGCATGATAGCATTCTTCCAGTATTTGAAGGGCTGCCACAGAGAAGAGGGAGTCAAGAGGGGGTCAGAGCACCAGAAAGCAAGACGAAGCAATGGATGGAAACTAATCAAAGGAGAGAAGCAACCTGGAACTAAGGAGAAACTTCCCAATACTGAAAACAATTAGCCAGTGGGACAACCTGCCTCCAGAATTTGTGGCTGCTCCATCACTGGAGGTTTTTAAGAAGACATTGGATAAGCATTTCCCCCAGATAGTTATAGTGCCTCCTGCTTGAGCAGGGGGTTGGACTAGAAGACCTCGAAGCTCCCTTCCAACGTCTGTCATGCTTTTGTCTTTCTCCCCAATTCCCGCTCGGGAACATGACACTTTCGGGAACCGGAGGGGCAAAATGGCATCGGAACATGATGTCTCTCAGAGGCCGAAGCCCTTCCGTGAGCAGATGTCTCATTTGAAGAGGCGCTGAAGCCTCCGAAGATACGGAAAGTAGCCCATTTGGAAGGCGGGAGAAGAAAGGGAAAGCCGTAATGTAGCTGTAATCGACAACTTGCCTATAAGCATTCCAGCTTTTATTTAGTAGCTGCCTTTATTGTTTTGAATGCTTTTTCCACCAGCGCATTCTTTGCATACAAATCAGACATTCCAGGCCTTCTGACTTTTAGACGGCATTAAAAAAAAATAAGATAAGAAGGCATTTGATTGCTTAAGCTGGAGTCTGGTGGGCTCCTCTGCACTTAAGATGGGGCTGATGCAAAGGTCCCATCCTGCTTCCTCCAGCCTCCCAGCTGGCAGGGGAGGGGGAGGGGGGCACACAGATTGGACGCCCTTATTTTTCCTGGAGATGTTGGTAGAACAGGTGAAGAGCAGCTGAGGGCTCTTGGGGTCGGGCTGGGGGCGTTTGAGACAGCGGCGAAAACGTGCTGGCGTAGCTCTGTTTGTAGGAGAACCACCGATGGTTTTCAACCGGATGCGGAAGAGCAGAAAATAATAGTGGTGGGTTCTGGAAGGGGCCTGGCGTTGTCTTACCGCTTCTGCGAGCCTCTGCAACGTTCCAGCTGCTCAGCCGAGCGTTGCGCAGGCGCTGTACACGCTGTGGACGCGCGCGGAAGCGGTGAAGACTTAAAAGACCGGTAAGGAGCTTGGGCAGGCCCTCTGGAGCATTGTACCAGAACGGTATCTGACGCTCCGGGCAGGCTCCGGTACGCAGGTCGTACCGCCTGCAACCCACTACTGGTTGCCGTCCTGAAGGACAAGGCAGACCTAAAATGAGCACACTCGAGGCTGCCAATGTCTCTGTGCAAAACTTCATTGAGTACATGGTTTCGGCACCACCGAAGGTAAGAAGTCTGGAAGCGGGCCCATTTCTGGCTTCCAGAAGGCCCCTGGAGCCCCGGGAGGAGGTTTTTGCCCTCTCGGAAGCTCACAGAAAGCCTCCAGAGCCTGGGGAGGGTGAAAAATGGGCCTACTGGAAGTTCTGGAAGTCCAGAAACAGTTTTTGTCCTCCCGGAGGCTCAAAAAAAGCCTCTGGAGCCTCGGGAGGGCGAAAATGCCCCCCTGCCGTGAGAAGGCTGAGGAGACCACACCCCCATGGCCACGCCCCCAGCAACTGGGCAGAGAACCAGTTGCTAACATTTTTCAATCCCGCCCCTGCCTCCAGACTACAGGTCCCAGAATCCCCTGGGGCCCATACCCATGTTCAGAGGGTACCTGTTGTTCTTACTTGATTCTCATTGGCAAGAATTCTTCATTCCCCAAGTATGTTTCTCCTCGTGAGTGACTCAGCTGGTGGGTCATAAGGACGATGATGTCAGTTCAGTTGACTCGGGGGAAGCCATGGCTTAGTGCCAGCGCAAAGTCGGTTTGTTTTGAGCCTTGTCCTTCTTCCCCAATTCTCTCTTGTTGGCTTTTAGGCAGAAAACAGAAGCTGCGAAGTTCCTTTTTGGCAGCAAAACGAGAAACGCAGTCATTGCAGTTGTGAAAGTGTATTTCATTTCCATTTCTTCTTCACCACAGGACGGTCCTGCGTGTAAATGAGGCACAATTTCTTATTTTGTGCCTTGTGAGAGAGATTTTTACTCAAGGGTGAAATTTCGGGGAAGGGGGGGGGACATTAGATTGACAATTGTGGCTCTAATTCTGTCTCGGGAATAATTGCAAAATCTCAAAAAGAGAAAGATAATTGCAAGGGAGGGAAGAGAGATTCCAAGCAAACTCTAAGTTCATTTTTTTCCTTGGGAAAATAAAGATTTTCACACACATACACACACACAAATTAAATAGAGATAGAGAGAGAGATAGAGGGAGAAAGAGAGAGAGAGATAAATAGGAGATATAGATAGACAGACAGACAGGAGAGAGTGATAGAGATACAGAGACATAGATATATAGATATAGATAGAGATAGAGAGAGTGAGAGAAAGAGAAATAGATAGACAGACAGACAGACACAGGAGAGAGATAGAGATAGAGAAGATATAGAAAGATAGAGATAGACAGACATTAGATAGATGATAGATAGATAGATAGATAGATAGATAGATAGATAGATAGATAGATAGATAGATAGATATAAAGAGAGATAGATATAAAGAGAGAGAGATTGAAAGAGAGATAGATAGACAGATAGATTATAGATAGATAGATTGATAGATAGATATAAAGAGCGAGAGATGGAAAGAGAGATAGATAGACAGATGGATAGATAGATAGATGATAGATAGATAGATAGATATAAAGAGAGATAGATATAAAGAGAGAGAGATTGAAAGAGAGATAGATAGACAGAGATAGATAGATAGATTATAGATAGATAGATTGATAGATAGATATAAAGAGAGAGAGATGGAAAGAGAGATAGATAGACAGATGGATAGATAGATAGATAGATAGGAGATAGAGATAGATGGAGGGGGAGAGACAGACAGATGGACAGAGAGAGAGAGAGAGATCTTTCCTTGCTTGCACCTTGCGCCTAGAATGGTACAGTGGGCTTGGGGGCAGAGTTGATTTTCCAGATAATTTTGGGGGGGGAAAGGCTTTTCCTGCATTGAGGTCATTGGTGACACCTGTGTCCTGAGGATGCGTCTTTTTCCTACCTTTGATAGTTGAAGACAAGCAGGGGAAGAACGGCAGGGAAATTTAACGGAGGCGAAATGCTAAATTCCACACTTGGGAGCACAGCAGCCAAGGGGAGAAAAATGGGCCTCGGCAATAACCCTTCTGGAAGAAAGAGAAACACATTTCAAAAAGAATAACAGGAGGTCATAAATGAGTCAGCAGTGCGACAGGATTACTAAAAACAGGAATGCAAATTGAAGCCGCCTGAACTGGGGTATTGTTTTTACAAGAGGAGGAGTCATCCTTCCTCTTTCTTCGGCTTTGATCAAAGTTTGAAGGGTGCCAACTAGCGGAGGTTGTCAGGTTGACAACCGGGTACTAAGAGATGAAGCCCTGGATGGACTTAGTGGAAGGTGCTTCCGTAGGAGAAGGCTTTGCTGGAGTGCAAGGACATATCTGTTGGACATCGGATATCAGGCGACTCAGATGACAAGGAGGTTGGGGAAGCCTCTGGTGGATGCTCTGCATCAGACGCAGAGACAGAGCCACGGCCGTCCAGCATTTCCCGGAGGCAAATGCCCTTGGAGGCTGAGATAAGTGGGGAGGAAGAACAGCTGGGGCCTGTTCCAGATGCAGGTATGTGCAGAGCAATTAGGAGAGGTGAACAACGGAGGATGAGGAGTCGACTCGGGAGGCAAAGCACACGTGGACCCTGAATGGCCCTGCCTTGGTTGGGGAATAAATAGAAGGAAAAGGGAGCGACTGTCGTAGGAGACAACAGTTCGTATTTCTGAAGAGTTTGCTCCTTGTGTTTCGTGCCACAAAGTCTTAATTTCGGCTGGGAGAGCCTAGCAATTATCACAAGGAACTGATAAGGTCTGTTGCTGCAGTTAACCCTTAGAAGGACTCTTGCCTGGACTTTTCAGTGGGTGCATGCCATTCATTCACAAGAGGTAAATAAAGAGGGGTTTTTCGTGCCGGGGAGTCTTGTTTCTTGCTTCTGCTAAGGCTGGTTCAGACCAACGTTCCTCGAAGGTTAGGAGAAACATCTGAAGAGCTTCCCCAGTAGGGTAGTGGAGCCGGTGATCCAGAGAGCAGTGAATGAATTCCCTTCGTTGGGTTGGTGCAGCTAGAGAGCTATCTGTCGAGGTTGCTTCCTTTGAATCTTCCCCTCGCCTGAATGGTCTCTTCCGCTTGGAGGGTTCTCCTTGGGTTCAATCTCAGGCCCTTGAGTTCTTCGGTGCTTCTCAGGTCTCCTTTCATTCATGCACCCTTTTTCTCCCTTCTGCTTTGACAGCAATTGAATCATCCCAACATAATCAAGTATTTGGATTCATTTATCGAAGACAACGAACTGAACATTGTCCTGGAGCTTGCAGATGCTGGGGATCTCTCTCAGATGATTAAGGTGAGGTCAGCTTGAAGGTTTGTGATCCCCTCCCCTCCCTTCCTCCCTCTCTCCCTCCCTTCCTGCTCTTAATTCACACCCAGGATATTTTTCATACCTCCCCCTCTCCCTCCCTCCCTCCCTCCCTCCCTTCCATTCTTTGTCCCTCCCTTCTTCTTGCTCTTAATTCACACCCAGGATATTTTTCATACTTCCCTCTCTCCATTCCTCCCTCCATTCCTTCCTTCCATTCTTCCTCCCTCCCTCCTTCCCTTCTTCCTGCTCTTAATTCACACCCAGGATATTTTTCATATCTCCCTCTCTCCCTCCCTCCCTTCCTGTCATTTCCATCTCCTTCCTTCCTTCCTCTTAATTTGCATTTGTTTTTCCTTCCTTCCTTCCTTCCTTCTCTTAATTCACACCCATTTTTCCTTCCTCTTAATTCACACCCATTTTTCCTTCCTTCCTCTTAATTCACACCCATTTTCCTTCCTTCCTTCTTTCCTTCCTTCCTTCTCTTAATTCACAACCATTTTCCTTCCTTCCTTTTCTTAATTCACACCCATTTTTTCTTCCTTCCTTCCTTCTTTCGTTCGTTCCTTCCAAGCCAAAAGATTCAGAAGAAGTTGCGAACAGTTGGCGAACACATTCATATATTTGCCAAGCCCCAGCCCCTGTTTAGCGGAGGCCCTGTCGCTCTCCTTATTTATGAGCATTATAAAACCGGTGTAACTTGGGGTTGCTAACTATACTACCCATTGGAGAACATGGGCTTTACTGTTAAATGTCAGGGAAATCTTGTTGGACATGACATTTAAGAAGATTGTTAATTGTGGTCTGGAGTCGTCTTCTCTAGATACTTCAAGCAAGAGCAAACCCACAATTTTTAGTAAATAACGGCTAGACTTTCTTCTCTTCTCCAACAGTGTCATGGAGAAGACTGTGTGTGTATGTGTGTGTTTGTGTGTGTGTGTGTGTGTGTGTGTTGTATTTTTGCTGATAAATAAATGGAGACTAGTATAGATCTATTTCAAGCTATTTAGCTCTCATCAGCCAGCCATACCCTTGCTGGCATTCAAACCTGGGCTGTTTTTATGTTAGGCCTCTAAGCCACAAGCTCTCCTCCCTTATCAATTGAGCCAAGGAAATGATTTAGTGTTATGTCAAAGCAGCCCAGATTCAAATTTATGTATTTATTTATGTATTTATATATTTATTTATTTATATTGTGTTGTTTCAAAGCACCTGGTATGCCCAAATATGGGAGGGCACATACTGCTTCCCTTTTGCCTTTCAGCTCCACCCTAGGAGCCTTCCAGGCAGGAAACTATTTTGTGTTGCATTTGTGCTGATAAATAAATGAAGAGAGACAAGTATAGATCTATTTCAAGCTCTTTAGCTCTCATCAGGTAGCCATACTCTTACTTGGATTCTGGGCTGGGCTTGGATACCTGGGCTGTTTTTACATATTAGGCAGTTATGTTAACCTCTAAGCCACAAGCTCTCCTCCCTTATCAGCTGAGCCAGGGGAATGATTTAAGTGTTTTTTTCTTTTGTCAAGAAATAGAAGCTGTGTGTGTGTGTCTGTCTGTCTGTCTGTCTCCCTGAAAACAAGACCCATCCTGAAAATAATACCTAGCATGTTTTACACCTGCACCTAATATAATCCCTACCTCCAAAATAAGACCTACTTAACAGCCTGCACTACTGGCCACCCACCTGTCTGATTGCTAAAGGTGAGGCAGGGTGGTGGTGGAGCTGCCCCACGCACTCCGCACTGGCTTACCTCAGTGCCCCCGCAGCCAGGCCATCCACACCCCAACATCTGCCTCGCTGCGGCAGCATCAATAGCCAGGTACAGCAGAAGCCCACACACCTGCTGACCTATGTCTTCTGCTTGTGTGTGGCCATAGTGGAGCAGGAGGCCGAGTGGGGTGTCGGAGATGCGGCAACGTGGTGAGGCAGGGGCCATGAGCGAACGGAAAAAGTGGGCTGGTGGTTACACCGGGTCCTGCTTGGTGGGAGCCTCTAGAGCTGCCGCCACGAGTCGAGGCAGGCGCTGGGACATGGGTGGCCTGGTTTCCAGTGCCCTGAAGTAAGCCAGTGCAGGGTTTATGGGGCAGCTCCACAGCCCTGCCTTGTGGGGGTGGCCCTGGCACCATGCAGCCTCCTGCCCCACCACGAGGAAGCAGAAGTATGCCTCCCATGCATGGGAAAAACAAGACACCCCTGAAAATAAACCCTAGTGTTTCCAAATAGCACCCAAAATTGAATCAGAGTCCAAGGCAAAGTATTGCTCAAAGTTCCAATTTATGAAGAGAGCCATGTTGGCACATCTGGGAAAACCTGAATCTGAAAGCTTCCAGGTTTTCCCCACCCAGTTGAAAGTTCAAGATCCTGCCCCCATACCTACAAGTCCATCCCGTGGTCCAATCTCCTACTGCCATTCTGACAGCTTCCACCCATCCAGTTCCGGTCAGGTGCAGAGGTGTCAAGACAAAGGATGACCTTGGCTTTCTAGAAAGAATGTTGTTATGGCTGCATAGTGTCTAACTCCATACAACCCCCCCTCCCATTTTCCCACCATAGAAAATGCCTAGTAGAATAATAGAAAGTGTGGCAGGCCAGAGATCCAACAGAAAAGATGGCTGCAGGCCTGACATTGGGATGGCTCTTCTCAGAGACAGAGATAAAAACCACCAAGAATTGCGTAGTGGCTTAACGTTAAAAATAGATTGGAAGTGGAGATGGCTCTGTGGTTTGGGCCATAAAAGAAGGAGTCTGATTTTGAAAACAGCTCAAAATAAAATACTAGGTGAACGAGTAAAATTGGCAACATCCCCTTGTAGAAAAGATCATACTTTCCTTTGCTAAAACTAAATGAACACATCCTAAAAAAAGGAGGTCATTTCAGTGATCTTGGCGCGCCCTAAATCAGGGGTCTCCAACCTCCAGCCGGCTGAGGAACTCTGGGAGTTGAAGTCCACATGTCTTAAAGTTGCCAAGGTTGGAGACCGCTGGGGTAAATGGTAGATCCAGGAACTTTCTGATGTCCCAGCTTTCCATCCCATTTCCACACCTCATAAAAGTACTCTCTGGGGAATTCTGGGGAGTTCAAGTCCACCCATGAACTGCCATCTGTCGGAAATGGTATATAGGGTCTCCTGCTTGGGTTTGGGGGGAGGGGTTGGAGTAGATGATCTACAAGTCCCTTCCAACTCTTATTATTCTGTATCCAATCCTTGGAACATCTTAAAAGTGCTGGCTGAGGAATTCTGGGAGTTGAAGTCCACAAATCTTAAAAGTACTGGCTGAGGAATTCTGGGAGTTGAAGTCCACAAATCTTAAAAGTGCTGGTTGGGGAATTCTGGGAGTTGAAGTTTACCCATCTTAAAGTGCTGGTTGGGGAATGCTGGGAGTTGACGTCCGCACACCTTAAAGGTGCCAAGCTTGGGAAACAGGGACGTCAAAGCTTCCCACTTCGTTTGTAACCCAGTTTTGGCTGAGAGCTGCACCAGTGTTGGGGTGGGGGGAAGCCCTGGAAAATAGCAAGGGCAGGAGGAGGTCTGCAGCCTTTGGCCAGCTCCATTGTCCGTGCGGGAGAAATATACGTGTGACTTGGAAGCATTTGGTTCACGCCACGCAGATCTGCAACTTTTTAAAAGAGCGGAATTCTGGATTTTCCAGAGAGGATATTGTTTGGGGTTAAGGTCAGATCTGGACAGAGATACAGAGATTTGGTTAATTTGACACCAACGTCCAAGGTCCCCCTGTAGCCCACGTTCTCCAGCTTCTAACACGGTGTTTGCACACTCAACGCAAGTCTCTTTCTGAGTGGCGGAGAAAGCGGAGTTCATCGCAACAACCTGCTCGCTTGCAAACAGGCAGAGAAGATTCCCGGCGATGTTAATAATCACCATGAATATCCAGGACTCGGCTTTATTTATTTTCCCCTTTCCCGCACACAGGAAAACCCTCGCGTCCTTTGTTCCTCAGGCATAGCTCTGCAGGCATTTGTTGTTTTCCGGCATTAAATATGTTCGGCAAGGTAATTAACAAGACGAAGGCTAATTATAATGGGTGTCCACTCCGAAATGTCAAACCTATTGAAGCTTCGTTTCCATAATGCTCTTAATGAGCCCCTCGCTCATCTCGGGGGGGGGGGGTTGAAGAGGCAAAAGGGGTTAAAATCTGGACTGGACCGAAATCCTTTTCCTGGTGGGCTCTGGGACTTTGGCCAGAGGGATCTCTCTCTGTTTCACTCTCTTTTCCTCCTCCTCTCTCTTTTGTCTCTCTCTCCCTCCCTCCCTCTCTCTCTTTCTCTCTCTCTCTTTACCTCTATCTCTTCTCTTTCTCTTTCCCTCTCTCTCTGGTCTCTCTCTCTCTCATTACCTGTCTTTCTCTCTCTTTACCTCACCCCCTCTCTATCTCTTTTCTCTCTTTCTTTCCCTCTCCCTCTGGTCTCTCTCTTTCTCTGTCTCTGTCTTTCTCTCTATCTCTTTTCTCTCTCTTTCCCTCTCTCTCTGGTCTATCTCTCTTTCTTTACCTCTCTCTCTCTTGTTTCTCTCTCTGTTTCTCTTCCTCGCGCTCTCTCTTTCTCCCTCCCTCTCTCTTTCTCTCTGTTTCTCTCTCCCTCTCTCTCTCCCTACCTTTCTTTCCCTTTCTCTCGCTCTGTCTCTCTTGTTTCTCTCTCTTGTCTCTCTCTTTACCTCCCCCTCTCTCTGCCTATCTCTTTTGCTTTCCCTCCCTCCCTCTCTCTTCTCTCTCTCTTTACCTGTCTCTCTCTCTTTACATCCCTTTCTCTATCACTCTCTTTCTCTCTTTACCTCCCCCTCTCTCTTTCTATCTTTTGCTTTCCGTCTCTCTCTTTCTCTATCTCTTTGTTCTCTCTCTTTCCCTCTCTCTTTGATCTCTCTCTTTCTCTCTTTACCTGTCTTTCTCTCTCTTTACCTCCCCCCTCTCTGTTTTCTCTTTCTCTTTCCCTCTCTCTCTGGTCTCTCTCTCTTTCTCGCTTTACCTCCCTTTCTCTGTTTGTCTCTCTCTCTCCTGTCTCTCTTTATCTCCCTCTCTTTACCTCCCTCTCTTCCTTTTCTCTCTCTCTCTACCTCCCTCTTTCTGTCTTTCTCTCTTTACCCCCGCCCCCTCTCTCTCTCTCTCTCTCACTCCCCCCTCTCTCTTTACCTCTCTCTTTCCCTCCCCCTGTCTGTCTCTCTGTGTCTCACACGTGTACGAGCTCTGCTTCTTTCATCTGGCATGTGCTCTGTTTCATTTGTCTTTTTTAATTTATTTTTCGGTCTTCCCCCTTCCAGTATTTTAAGAAGCAGAAACGGCTCATCCCTGAACGGACCGTTTGGAAATATTTCGTGCAGTTGTGCAGCGCGGTGGAACATATGCATTCCCGCAGGGTGATGCACAGAGGTAACCTGAATTTGGCGGGGTTTTTTTTTTTTTTTTGGCGGAATAACGGTGGCAATTATGAAGCGATTCTGCCTTGCCAAACCATTACGCTAATGTGCAGGCGGGGGGGGGGGCAGTTGCAAAGCATCCCGTCTGAATGGGCCACCACCACAATAAGTACGGAGATGAGTTTCCACCCGCCGTCAGGCCAAAAACTCAGGAGCAGCCCCTCCTCCTTGGCATGTGTTGGGGGGTAAAAAGTCGGCAGTTCAGCGGTTCGAATCCCTAGCACCACATAACGGAGTGAGCTCCCGTGACTTGTCCCAGCTTCTGCCAACCTAGCTTTTCGAAAGCACGTAAAACAATGCAAGTAGAAAAATAGGAGCCACCTTTGGTGGGAAGGGAACAGCGTTCCGTGCGCCTTCGGGAGTTGAGTCATGCCAGCCACATGACCACGGAGACGTCTTCGGACAGCGCTGGCTCTTTGGCTTTGAAATGGAGATGAGCACCGCCCCCTAGAGTCGGGAACGACTAGCACAGATGTGCGAGGGAATCCTTTGCCACCCATGTATGTATGGGTTGATAAATGATCGGATATGGTGGATGGATGGATGGATGGATGGATGGATGGA